TCTGCCATGCTCAAGGACCCATTCATTACGTGGGAATTGGGCACAATATGGCAGCTCCCTACTCCTGACCTCACTTACCTGAAAGTCAGCCTCAGCAACTTTCTGCTGAGGGCATTATGAATAATGTTGAGGCCCTGCTCTTCCCAGGAAGAGAGCCTTCCAGCTTGGAGCTAGAAGAGAGGGAGCCCTATGTTCTTGGCTACTGCAATCTAGAGAATAATCTCCATTTCCCTAAGCTGAGGTGGGTAAGACAGGCACAATCTTGGCTCAAATACCATAGGCTCCAGTTTTTCTGACCAAATTTTCATAGACTTTCGTGAATAGATGCTGCTTCCTCTTGCTGTTTGCTCTTAGGACCATTTCCGGACTCCAACTTAAATGAACTCATTCTTTGGGGCTCCACACTGCTTTAAGTTGTCCTCCTATCTCACCATTTTTTCTGTCTTTGTCTCCTTTGTAAGCTGCCACTCCACTGACTAATCTATACACGCTGGTACCTTTCTTGGACCAAGGCTCTCTCTTCTCTCTCTGTATACATCTTCCCTATGTAATCTCTTCCAATTCCATGATTTTAAAAAATGTACATGATGATAGCAGGGTGAGGTGTCTCAGGCCTGTAATCCCACACTTTGGGAGGCTGAGGTGGATGGATCATCTGAGGTCAGGAGTTCAAGACTAGCCTGGCCAAAATGGCGAAACTCTGTCTCTACTAAAAATACAAAAATTAGCCGGGCATGGTGGTATGCGCCCTTAATCCCAGCTGCTCAGGAGGCTGAGGCAGGATAATCACTTGAACCCAGGAGGCAGAGGTTCCAGCCTGGGTGACAGAGCAAAATAAAAAAAAAAAAAGAGAAAGAAAGAAAAGTGCATGATGATGACTTCCAAGTGTGTATTTCTAGCCCTGACTCATATTTAATTACCTTTTCAACAACTCTATTTGCATTTTCAATTCACTAGTTTCAAAAGAATTAAATACAATGTATTAATTAAATACAATGCTTTGAAAAAATTCTTCCTATCTTAACCACTCAGTCTTCCACCAACTAGTTGTATCCTTGATTCCCCTGTCCTCTCAAATCAATGGCTTGCCCTCTATATATCCTGCTTCAAAAATACATCTTGAATCAATCTGACCAAATTGCCACCTTATCTGCTCATCCTAGTTCAAGTTATTATCATCTCTTATCTGGATAAACAAAATAGCTTCCATCTTCCACTTCCCTAACTCTGTGCTGGCCCCCCTTAGTTGTCTACATAGCAGTCAGAGTGCTAATTTTAAATGTTTATCAGTTCACATCATTCCTCTAAATCAATGGTTTCTCACTTTATTAGGATAAACTCCAAGCCCTTTACCATTGCCTATAAAGCTCTACATGATCTCACATTTCCTTTCCTCTCTGATCCAATCTTAAACACTTCCCTTTTTTGTTCACTATGTTCCAGCTGCACTGGCTTCTTTCTGTTCTTCTGTTCTTCAAACCTCCTCATCTTAATTTTCTTTTTTTTGAAACGGAGTCTTGCTCTGTCATCCAGGCTAGAGCGCAGTGGCACGATTTCGACTCACTGCAACCTCCACCTCCTGGGTTCATGCAGTTCTCCTGCCTCAGCTTTCTGAGTAGTTGGGATTATAGGCATGTGCCACCATGCTCGGCTAATTTGTGTGTGTGTGTGTGTGTGTGTGTGTGTGTATGTATATATGTATGTGTGTGTGTATATATGTATTTTTTGTAGAGACAGGATTTCACCATGTTGGCCAGGCTAGTCTTGAACTCCTCAGCCTCCCAAAGTGCTTAGATTATAGGCGTGAGCCACCGCGCCCAGCCTTAATTTTCCTAAGGCCTCTAAATTTGTTCTTCTGACCGCAAAAACCTTACTCTAAATTTCCCCTGGTTGATTCTTTCACACTATTTAGATCTAAGGTCAAATGTTACCGCCTCATAGAAGCTTTCTCTGACATCCTATATAGTAAGCAACTCTATAGCATTATTTTATTTTCTTCACAGCAATTATCACTACTGAAAATTTGACACGAGTAATGAATCATGAAAAATGATACCCTGGCTATTCATGTTTTGATTCTGTGCTGATTCCTCTAGGGCCTGGTTCCATTTGTTCTCTTTTCTTTCTTACATCTCCCATCTCTTTTTCTCTCCACTGGCAACTTCCATCTATGAAAACTCAACTCTTCCTTGTTTGTGTCCTTGAACCCTCATGATTTTTTGACATCTTGGAATATGGCTCCTATATCTTGTTTTCCTCACCAATCACTTTACTGAATTCATCTCCAAAAAGTGACAATAACATCCTATTAGTGAAAACACAGTGGCTTTTTTCGCTCTAATTTGTTTTCCCTCCATTGAATTTACCGTTTTATTTTTTGAGTCTTGCATTGTCACCCAGGTTGGAGTGCAGTGGCACAATCTTGGCTCACTGCAACATCTGCCTCTCAGGTTCAAGCCATTCTCTTGCCTCAGCCTCCCAAGTAGCTGGGATTACAGGCGTGCACCATCACGCCTGGCTAATTTTTTGTATTTTTAGTAGAGGCAGTGTTTCACTATTTTGGCCAGACTGGTCTCGAACTCCTGACCTCAGGTGATCCGACTACGTTGGCCTTCCAAAGTGCCCTTCCTTGTGCCCTTCCTCCCTTCCTCCCTCCCTCTCTTCCTTCCTTTCTTCCTTCCTTCCCTTCTTCCTTCCTTCCTTTCTTCCTTCCTTCCCTCTCTCCCTCCTCTCTTTCCTTTTTTCTCTTTTCCTTTCTTTTCTTTTCTTTTTTTTTTTTTTTTTTGAGACGGAGTCTTGCTCTGTTGCCCAGGCTAGAGTGCAGTGGCCAGATCTCAGCTCACTGCAAGCTCCGCCTCTCGGGTTCAGGCCATTCTCCTGCCTCAGCCTCCCGATTAGCTGGGACTACAGGCGCCCGCCGCCTCACCCGGCTAGTTTTTTGTATTTTTTAGTAGAGACGGGGTTTCACCGTTTTAGCCAGGATGGTCTCGATCTCCTGACCTCGTGATCCGCCCGTCTCGGCCTCCCAAAGTGCTGGGATTACAGGCTTGAGCCACCGTGCCCGACTTCTTTTCTTTTCTTTCACACAAGTAACATGTACTCCTTTTACATAAAAGCAGAAAATACAAAATTAGGATTCCACCTCCTGGAAATAAACTACTGTTACTGTTTGCTTTGTGTATTTCTAGACCTTTTTTAGTGCATGCACATAGATTTAAAAATAAAACTAAGGCAGAAATAGAATGCTCTATTTGCTATTTTATATATACTTTTTAAAAAATGTGATATATAATTAAATCTTTGTAGGTCAACAGACATAGGTTCTGTTCTCTTTTGCCTTCTCTATTAGGCCTTACTGAATCTGCATATTATAAAAGAGTTATTGAGAAGATAATCTGGTCTCATTTTATGATTCTAACCTATAATGGCCATTTATTTTGCCAGTCAAAACTACTCCTTTTTTTTTTTTTTTTTTTTAAAGGGAGACAAGGTCTCACTATGTTGCCCAGGATGGCCTCTAACTCCTAGGCTCAAGAGATCCTCCCAGGTAGCTAGGATTACAAGCATGTGTCACACTGCCCAGCACTTGTCAGAACTTCTACATACTGTATTCTGCTAGTCAGAGCTTCTAACTATACGGGACACAAATTCAACTAGATTTAGGAATAAAATTAAAAGAGAAACAAACAACTGTTTAAACAGCACCCATGAGTCTACCCAACATTTTTCTTACATGGTAGGTGATAAGAAACTGCTACTGCTTTAGCCAGCGTTGACACAATAAATATGATTCTAGTGTTTAAAGAAAGGTGTGAAAGCCAATCACTTGATCTGATGCTCAAATTGAAAGTTTAAAATACTCTTTCGATTTTGGAGGAAAAGCTGGGCAGGCTAAACTTGCTGAGATTGTATATTGGTTTCCAATATGGCTCCTAAATATGGCTATACTACTATATTCATGGGTGACCTAAGAGATTTTCAGGGGTAATTTTGACTCTACAGTTGGACCTCCGTTTTTGCAAATTCTATATCCAAGGATTAAACCAACCATGGATTGAAAACCTAGTTACGTCTACAATAGTTGTGGCTATAATGAAACATTTATTCACATTTTTTCTTATAATTCTCTAAGCAATATAGTGTAATAACTCTATGCATAGCATTTACATTGTATTAGGTATTATATGTAACCTAGAGATGATGTGCATAGGTTACATGCAAATATTATGTCATTTTTACATAAGAAACTTGAACTTCCCAATGGGTCCTGGAACCAATCCCCTACAAATACCTAAGTGATAACTACCCTCTGCTGTTTTTTTTTTTTTTGAGACAGAGTCTCGTTCCATCACCCAGGCTGGAGTGCATTGGCGTGATCTCGGCTCACTGCTGCCTCCGTCTCCCAGGTTCAAGGGATTTTCCTGCCTCAGCCTCCCGAATAGCTGGGATTACAGGCGAGCGCCACCATGCCTAGCTAATTTTTGTATTTTTAGTAGACACAGGGTTTTACCATGTTGATCAAGCTGGTCTCGAACTCCAGACCTAGTGATCCACTCCACTTTTTCTTAACACATTGAGAACCTATCCCAGCATAAGATTTATCTCCCCTGTCGTTTCTGAACACCCAAAAGTTCCTTTTATGACACATTTATGCAAGTGGTCCATCAATAAATGATACCGTCTGAGGTAATTATAGGTATATTATAACATCGATTAAAATACAGTGACCACAACATGATCATCTTCTAGCTTCTCATCATCCTACTTAGTGTTACACTTTAAAATTGACTCCGGCAGGAGCCAGAAGTGTTTAACTAAGGGTGAAAATTGACTTTTTCAGTTAAAAGTCTTGCAAAGTCTTTTAAGGTATACAAATACATTACAAATATTTAGAGACTTTGTGTATACTTAATTTATAATTTAAAATAAAAATAAAAGATAAAATTTAAAATAAATATAAAATTAAGATGCCAACTACAGGTCAAATTAAAGAAACATACTCATAATCTGGCATTTTTGGTATGAATATATCTTGTGCATCATCTTCCATGTGTTGTAGGTCAACATAGAGGTCTGTAGTTCCACTTGCATTAAAATTTCCTTGGATATTCTGACTGTATTGTTGAAGACGCTTCCATAAGTCGTTATAAAGACGTAATAATTTGGGGTATTCTCCTTCAAATGCCTGCTTCAAAAACATAGAAGCTGCCAAGCAAAACAAGAACATGAATTAGATAAATGAAAATAAAATGTGGTAAATAAATGTTTCTTCTGCATATGAAGATATTGTTCCAAATAACCCATACTATAAGGCAAACCAAAGATGTGTTCTAATGAGGTCTTTTATAGTAATGCTAATAATAATAATTTTCCACTTTGACTCACTGCACTTGATATGCAGGCCATATATTTTGAAACACAATCTATATAAAAATAGAAAAACCCACAATTGTAGTTGAAGATTTCAATTCCTTTTTCAAGAATCAAGAAAATAAGTACACAGAAAATCGGGACAGAAAACTCGACAGCGCTAAAACCTAATTGACTTAATTTACATTCATACAATACGTCATGCAAAACAGCAAATACACATTCTTTTCAAGTGCACATGGAGTATGTACCAAGATCAACAATATTTGGTTCCATTAAACAGGTCTCAATACATCGAAAAGGCTTCAAACCATACAAAGCTTGTTCTCTAACCAAAATAGTTTTAGATTAGAAATTAGTAACAAAAAGATACCTGAAAAGAATCCTCAAATATTTGAAACTACAAAATGCTTCTAAATAACCCATAGATCAAAAAAGAAATCAAAAGGGAAATTAGAAGTATTTTGAACTGAATGAAAATTATAACACAACACATCAAAATTTGTGGGATATCAACAAGGGACTACTTGGGGGAAATTTATGCAAATACTTACATTTGAAAAGAAGAAAAGTTTCAAATCAATTACCTAAACTTCCATTTTAAGAACATGGAAAAAGAAGGGCAAATAAAAACCAAAGTAAACAGAAGAAATAAAATAATAAAGCGCTGAACAGATATAATGAACCAGAAAATGAAAACAAGAAACACTGAAACTAAAAACTGGTTCTCTGAAAAGATAAGTAAAATTGACAAACTTCTAGCCAGATGGATTAGGAAAAAAGAGTAGAAACAAATAATCCATACTAAGAATAACAGAGGTGATCTCATTATGTGTTACAAAATATTCTGCAGATACTAAAAGGGTAATAAAGGAATTATGAACAACTTTATGTGAATAAATTTGAAAACTTTCATGAAACATACAAATTCCTTGAAAGATACAAACTAACAAAGCTCACTCAAGAAGCAATAGATAGACTGAATAACGCTATACTTGTTGATTCTTTTAGTTAAAAATCTTTCCACAAAGAAAAACTTCAGGTTTAGATGACTTTAGTGGTGAATTTTATCAAGCAGTTTAAGAAACAAATAAAAGCAATTCTATACCAATTCCCAATTCATTCTGAGGCAAGCACTGCCCTGACATAAAAACCAGATATTAAAAGAAAAATAAAAACTACACAATATTCCTTATGAAGATAGATGTAAGAATTATAACCAAAATTTCATCAAATCTAGTCAAACAATATATAAAAAGAATAATACATCATGACCAAGGAGATCTATATCAGAAATTCATAGTTGGCATACATATACATAGATATATATACACACACACCTGGAATTACATATATATAATAACATCTATCTATCTATCTATCTATCTAATTATCTATCTATCTATCTATCTATCTATCTATCTATCTATCTATCTATCTATCTAAATAAATGGGGTCCCACTATATTGCCCAGGCTGTTCTTTAACTCCTAGGCTCAAACAGTCTTCCTGTCTTGGCCTCCCAAAGTGTTGGGATTACAGACATGACCCAACATACCTGGTCTGCTTAATGTTTTAAAATCAATCAATGTGATGATTCATCTTTTAACAAACTAAAAAGAAAAAGCGTATGCTCTTTTCAATAGATGAAGAAAAAGCATTTGAAAAAAAAATCTAACATTCACTCCTAATAAAACTCTCAGTCAACTAGGAACAGAAAGGAACACATCCTTAAACTAATAAAAGGCATCTATGAAAAACTACAGTTAATATAATACTTAAGAGAATAAGTAATACTTTTGCTCAGAAATCAGCAAGAAGACAACAATGTTAGCTTTCACCACTTCTAATCAACATATCCTAGAGGTTCTGGCCAGTGTACAGAGGCCTAAGTAAATAAGTAAATAAGACATTCAGATTGGAAAGGCACGCAGTCTTTTTAGACAGACAACATACAAGTATCTATATGGAAAATCTGACGGAATCTGTGAGAAAAGCTACTAGAGTTAACATAATAACTGAATTTAGCAAAGTTGCAGGATATAAGATTAATGTGCAAAATTCAGTTGTATGTCTATATACTAGCAATGAACAATCAGAAGTTGAAATTTTAAAAGAATACAATTTGGAATAGCACAAAAAAAATGAAATACTTAGATAATCTGACAAAAGGGGAAATAGGTGCACACTGAAAACTGCAAAAACAATGCTGAGATAAAGAAGACCTACATAAATGGAAAGCGATAACATTCATAGTTCAAAGATTCAATATTGTTAAATGTAAATTATTCCTAAATTAATCTATATATTAAATGCAATCTAATTTAAAATCAATGCAGGCTTTCTTTTAGTAGAAATTGAAAAAATGATCCAAAAATCATATGAAAATGCAAAGAACCCACAATAGTCATGGCAACTTTGAAAAACAACAACGTTGGAGTACTAATATGATCTGATTTCAAGACATACAAAACTATAATAATCATTACACTGGTACTGGGGTAAAGACAGACACATAGATTAATGGTGCAGAATAGAGAGTACAAAAATAGACCCACACATATCTGGGAGACTGAATTTTGATGAAGGTGCAGACACAATTTAGTGGACACAGGGTAGAGTTCACCAAATGATACTGTAACAACTGAAGAGCTATATGCAAAAAAATCCTCTTTAACCCACACCCTATACCTTATACAAAAATTAACTTAAAAAAGATTAAATCTTCTAAAAGAAAACATCTGAGGGAACTTTTCTGTCCTTGAGTTAGACATGATATGAAACCAAAAGTATGGTCCATAAAAGAAATTTGATAAACTGGACATCTAAATTAAAAGTGTCTGCTCTTCAAAAAAAATACTGCTAAGAAAATGAAAAGACACACCCCAGAAAGGGAATATCAATTTCACATATATCTGATGAAGCACTTGTATCTGAAACACATAAAGAACTCTCAAGTCTCAATAAGAAAATAGCCTAACTTCAAAAATGGGAACTTTATCAAAGAAGGTATATGAATGGCAAATAAACACATGAAAAAAAAATGCTCAACCTCTTTAGTCAATAGGGAAATGTAAATTAAAACCACAAGACACAACTATATAACTGTTCAAGTGACTAAAATTAAAAAGAGTGACCATATCATGGCCAAACACTGTGGCTTGTGCCTGCAATCCCAGCACTTTGGGAGGCTGAGGTGGATGGATCATCTGAGGTCGGGAATTTGAGACTAGCCTGGCCAGCATGGTGAGACTCCGTCTCCACTAAAAATACAAAAATTAGCCGGGTGTGGTGGTGCACACCTGTAATCCCAGCTATTCGGGAGGCTGAGGCACAAAAATCGCTTGAACCCAGGAGGCGGAGGTTGCAGTGAGCCGAGATTGTGCCACTGCACTCCAGCCTGGGCAACACAGTGAGACTCTGTTACCAAAAAAAAAAAAAAAAAAATGACCATATCAAATATTGGCAAGGATAAATGAACTAGAACTCTTATATAACTTATGGAGATTAAAAATTGCATACTCATTTTGCAAAAGAATTTAGCATTTCATTAAAATGTTAACTATATACCTAAATATTGTTAAATCATTCTGCTTCTAGATATTTATCCAAAAAAAAATAACAGTATATGTCTACATAAGGAACTGTACCTGAATATTCACAGTATCTTTATTTGTAGTAGCAAAAACTGGAAACAACTCAATGTCCATCAACAGGCCAATGCATAAGCAAACTAATATATCCATGCAATGGAATAATATGCAGCAACAAAAACAAATTACAATATAGTTGAATCTCAATAAAATCATGCTGTGTGAAAGAAGCCAAACAAATAAGAATATATAATATATGCTAAATCATTCAATTTGTACAAAATTCTGGGAGCTACAAACTACCATAGAGTAACAAAAAGCAGATCAGTGTTTGCCTGGGGATGCGGAAGGGAGATAGTGGAGAGAGTAATTACGAAGCTGTACAAGGAAACTTTTGGGAGTGATGAATATGCTCATTGATTGCTTGTTGTGATGATTTCAGGGGTGTACTCATACGTGAAAACATATCAAATTGTATACTTTCAAGATGTGTTGTTTATTGTATGCCAGCTATACCTCAGTAAAGCTATTTAAGAGAAATTATCTCAGAGAAAACTTCTTTGGCCTCCCTCTTCCCTGATAAAGCACAAATCCCCCACGGGCCTCAAGTAACCCTGTAAGTTCTTTCAGGGCATGCCAATAATGCGAGGCCCTGGGTTTGCTCTTGTATTTGGCAAGAAATCTTGAGAGACACAGTAACAACATCCTGCAGACAGAGAGCCGACTTGTTTACTATTCACTACAAAAGTTGTAGTTTCTTCAAGCTCAAAGTTCCTTCCCTTCCATGCAATCTCTCTGTACACGTACCATCCACACGGGCCCATGTCATATCTCCCTGTAATATTTGGAGGCATGTGAAACTAAAACACAATATGCTAATGCTCATAATTCTTGCTGTGTTGTAATAAAGTTCTTTTTCTCTAACCCAGGAGTCTCATGTCTTCGGACAATATTCATAAAACTATGGCAGTTTAGCCTTTTTAAGAAAGATAAAATCTCAGATCCTTCAGTTTTTGAACTTCCCCAATCAAAATCAAAATATTTCTTCGGTAATTCTCTCACAACAATCTGTTCTTTGCTTTTTTTTTTGTATTTATCACAATTTCTAAACATATTTGTTTGCAGTATATTTCTCCTACATGGCTGTTCACTCCACAAAGGCAAGGACAATGCCTCTTTTCTTCAAAGCACATTTGGTACCTAGCACAGTGCCTGGAATAGCAGAAGTAAATATTTCTTAAAT